TCTCAGGTTGGGTCAAACCAGTAGGGATCCTTGCAAGGCTTGCCTTCTGTTCAGGTGGCTTCTGCTATAGTGTTTCCCATATAAACACACAGCTCAAGCAATGAGGTACAACACTTAAACATTGTATCCACTCCAATTTCCACATCTGGGCACCTTGAAGGAGGCTACAAGGTTCCTTAATTAACCCTCCTCCTACCATGCTGGTATGGACTTGCTCCCAGGTTGCAGGCTTTCCTTCGGTTGGAAAGCTGCTCTACAGGAGAGGACCTTAGGATGTTGGTCAACAGCAGCTGGACATGAGCCAGCTGTGCCCAGGTGACCAAGAAGGCCAAGGTGATCCTGGCCTGTATCAACAATAGTGTGGCCAACAGGAGCAGGGCAGGGGTTGTCCCCCTGAACTCAGCACTGGCGAGGCCACATCTCGAGTGCCATGTCCAGTTCTGGGCCCCTCACTGTGAGAAAGACATTGAGGTGCTGGACCCTGTCCAGAGAAGGGTGACAGAGCTGGGGAAGGGTGGAAACACAAGTCCTGTGAGAAATGTCTGTAGGAGCAGAGGGTGTTTAATCCAGAGAAAAGGAGACTTAGGAAGGAACTTTATCTCTGCAGCTACTGAAAGGAGGTAGTAGCCAGATGGGCCTTCCAGGTAACAAGTAACAGGACAAGAGGAAAAGGCTCAAGTTGCTCTTAGGACAACTTTTTTCCTCAAAAGTATTGTCAAGGGCTGAGTCACCATCCTCACAGGTGTTTTAAAGACATGTAGATGTGGTGCTTAGGGACATGATTTAGTGGTGGGCTTAGCAGTCTTTTCCAATCTAAATGATTCTATGATTCTATTATTCAGGGGTGTAACTGCTCCACTATGGACATATCCACAGCCACACACACTTTGGGGTATAACTGCTCCAGCTTGGTGTTATTCAGAGCTCACAGACCTTTCAACCTGAGTTCAGACTTGTTATAAATACATATTGTGATATTGGCTTTTCTCAAGTATGAAGATGAATGTTATATGTATAATGTTAGATAGCTTTTGCTATGTCTTTTTCTCCTGCTAGAATTTAGGTGTAGGTCAAGAAGAATTTTGGATGTTAGGGTTAGGTCCTGCCTGAACAAAGCAAGATAACCTCCACTGAACAGATGGTGGGGCCCAGGCTGCTATCAACACTGACTGCCTGTAGAAGAAAGAACCCCAGCCCAAATAAAAAGATGATAGAAGGGAGATTAAACCTGAAAAGTGCATGCTCTAAAAAGGCAGACCCAAGGAGTGGCCATGCAAAGCAGTTCCTGAAAAAGCTTGAATATGCATGAATCCATGCAGCAGGAATGGTATATAAAGGGTGTTTCCAAGACACCAAGTGTGCTCTTGGCAGAGAGCCAAGCACCCAGCCATTTTAACCCTTTGCTTTATTATCTTTGTCTCCTATTGTCTGTTTGTTTATATTAAACCTTTTAAAATTTATCAAGTGAGTGAACCTCATTTTTCACAGACTTACAACATGCCTACAGAATTACAGGAACAGCAGCAATGACCAGGCCATCTGTCAGCCTAGGCACGTGGCCAGTTCCTGTTATCAAAATGTTCCCAGGAACAGGAAAGTGAGATGATAAGCACTACAGCATATGGCAATCCCGAACAATCACTCCGTTCTAATATAGAGCAAAGCAAGCAGGTCCTCCGGTGAGAGCAGCAGCCTGCCAATTAATAGTTCAAACAGCTGTAAATCCAGTGGACCACATTCCTATCAAAGCTATCATTATCTTTAACCCCTCTGGCTCCACACTAGGTGTCAAAAAGCACACTTGGGAGTTAATATGACCAGGCAGCTTAGCCCCACAGAGCCACTCACACTGTCCCCTGCTGCAGGAAGCAGGGAAGAACAAGAAGGGTAAAAATGAAAAAAACTTGTAAGTTGATGTGAGGTGCTTCCGCCCAGGGAGGCAAAGATTTAGTTTCAGATAAGCATTGTTAATCTGAGAAGAGAGGCTTTAAAAGCCCAGGAAGAGTGGATTCCATTCCTCCGCCTCGGGCGATGTGCCCTATGAGCCTCAGGAAGAATGAGCCCTCGTGGGGTGGCAGCCCAGGGAACTCTGATTGGGTTTGAGCCCCTGGGGTTTCTCCCTTGCTGTGTTCCTATTAGACCCCGACCTTAAACTCCACCCTGGTTTTTTCCCATAAAACCCACCACCATGTTCGGGGCTCTCTGTCTCTGGATCTAAGCTGAGTTTGTTCCTGTGTTGAATAAATGGTTTCCTGAGCTTAACCAAACAGAAGCCCGGCTCGTTGAGTCCCATGTCGGTCACCAGAATCCGTAACTTCCCTGGACATGATCCTACAATTACGGAACGCGGCAGGTTGAAATAAAGACAGCTTAATAGGTAAAGCAAAGCCACTCACACAAACAAAGCAAAATCTTCTTGGCTTCTTGGCTTCATGGCTTCTTCACATCTGCAGGCCACATCAGCAGTTCAGCCATGTCCAGGAAGGCAGAGTTCCACCACATGGTCATGATTACTTGGGAAGGCAGACACCATCACACTGACTATTCCCTATGCCTTCCCTTTTTTTCCCTCAAAATTTTATTGCTGAGCACAGCATCATATGGTGTGGGGTATCTGTTTGGTCAGCTGGGCTCTGATGTCCCAGCTGTGCCCCCTCCCAGACTCTTGTGCACGCTACACTACTCAGAAAGAAGGCTCTCAGCCTGTTTAAGCACCGCTCAGCAAGAGCTAAAATGAACAGGATGTGATCTCATATACCTGATTTTGCTACTTTTACCTAATCATTGCTCTAACTTGACATAATTTACTGTCCACATGATGAATTATTACATTCTAGAACATTTCTCACTCATAAAATTTGATCATAAAACTCAATATTGACCAAGAACCCAAAATTTTCTGTTTCAAGATCAAGGGCCTCATGTGTTAAAAATACTCATTTTCATCCCCATCAAAAGAAAATTCGCATTAAAAAAACCCAAAACAATCCATATGATCAATACATAAGACTAAAGAAAGAAAACAACAAGGAAGAAGGAAATAGTTATCCTTTCTGCTTTCAATTACTAAATCATAACTTTGAGTGACCATTCTGCATACAGAATGACACTATACAAATGCAGGGTGAGGGTACAAAAAAACCCATTACCCCATTGAAGTTACACTTCAGTCCTCAGTTCATCTGACACTTTCAAAAGAACACAGGCAGGACATCTGCTATATATGTGTTAACAAGCATGTCAGGAAAATGGGGAGAGTAATTTCTGAATAGCATTGTGCTGTAGACACTTTCAGTTTTCACTACTAAGAAGCCACAGGTCCTCTAAGGCCATGAAGTACTAGACAAGCCCTATACACCATGAATTCTAAGATGCCTTTTGTACTCATTTGTCATCTATCTTCTAAAATGAATGGCACTCACTCAGGAAAAAAACATTTCAAAGTTTAACCGTTTTTCTCACAAATGTTTCCTGTCACACACAAGCATTAAAATGGTCATTTTGATGAAGGTGTTTTTGCTAGAGTAATATGATATTTACAATCATTTTGAGCGCATTTCTTTTCCTGTGTCTGGGTGAAGAGGGTCATTTCATCCTCACTCAAATGCTGCTTTTCTGCCTTGTTTGGTGAGGTGTGTGGCGCTGTTTGTACAGTCTCACAGTGGTGCCTTGGCAGACACGCCCGGGTGCAGTTGCTCCAGGGTTAACAGCAGTACTGCTTCTCCTGGATACTTGGCTCCCTTAGGCAAAGCAGGATGACCTTTGCTCGGGCCTGACCTGCCCAGCACCCCTTGCTCCCAGCCCCATCCCAATGAGGAAATTCTCTGCCCAAGTGTGACTGAGACAAGTTAGTCAGGTCCTCAAGTGTGGCCTTTCCCATACACACACCCCTCTCCTTTACAATTGTCTCTGATGGGAAATCTGATTTGTCCTAAGATAAGAATTCCAAGTGAGAATAGTGCTAAGATAAGAACACCCAGTGAGCATTCCAGGAGGAACTATCTGAATGTTCCCAATAATGACGAATTTCAGAGACAGAAAGCTGTAATGGTTTCGACTGACTTTGGCCCGCATCAGCCTGAAAAAGTGTTTAAAATACTGCTGAGGCTGAGCCAAATGTGCAAACTGGTCTCCCAGGCTGCAAGCAGCCTCCAGGCAGATCCCCCTGTCCTGGAAGGGATGCCTGCAGGGTAATTCCAGCCCAAAGATGAGGAACACTCACTTTTGGGCAGGTGAGTAAAAGCACCGAAGTCCAGTCACATAAAGAGATAAAATCCTAAAGCAGCTCCACAGAACAGTGCTTTGATGCTTTGCCATTGTGCATTCTGTAAGGCCAAAGCCTGCAACCCTGTACATTTCTAGCTAGTTATAATATGTTTATATATTATAACATGCTTATATTATATACTGCTTTGGTAATATTTAGATACTATATTAGCAATAAATCTAATCATAATCATCTACATAACGTGTCATAGTTCTTGTGCCTGAATAAGAGCCTTCTTTCTACTACTATTCTACCCAAAGGTAGAGATCTGGTAAAATGAGATCTGGTTAGACAAGATGTTCATTCAGGACAGAAATCACCATTTGAACCTTTTTGGGGGTTCAAGGCTATGACATGGTTGAGTGGTTCAGTTTTAAAATTCAAAATTTGGTATAGTATTTGGGACAAGTTGTGAACCAGGGCTAGGATTAGACCAAGTCTACCAAATATGACCAGCTAAATTTAGGCTTGCATGCTAAGTTCTGCTTAGAATGTATGTTGGCTAATGACTTAAAATCAAGGTAAAGCTGTATTAGGCACAAAGTAGTGGACAAACTGTATGTGGGTACGTATGAGGGTTGGATAGGAACGGCTGCTAGCTCAGGAGTGTGACAGAGCAGTAAGACATAAAATACGTAAAACCAGCTCCGGGCGGCGCGGCCCGGAACGGCCGGGCCGAGCAGGCGTTTCCCGGGGAGCGGCATCCGGAACGGAGCTTCCGGCGGGCCGGGGACGGAGGGGTGGGCTCCGCCGCCCGCGCCTGACAAAGGGCCCGGCGGGGCCCGGCGCGGCCCCATGGCGATCCCCATGGTGCCCATGGAGACGCAGCTGCAGAGCATCTTCGAGGAGGTGGTGGTGAGTCCGTCCCCGCAGCGCCGCCGCTGCCGGAGCAGCGCTGTGGGCAGGCCCGCCGTGCGCCCTCTGGGGAGGGCGGGCATCCTGAAGGAGATGAAAAGCGGGTGGGAGAGGTGCTTTTGGTTTTCGTGTGCTGTGGAGCCCCGCTGCCGTCCCCGGCCGTGTTTCGCGCTGTTCTCGGCGGCGGGAGAGCCGCGTGAGGGAAGGAGATTCCCCAGGGCTGGCATCTGCCCCCGCTGGGCTTTATAGGAAAGCTGGGACAGAGTAGGACTGGGCGTGAAACAGCTTGCTTAGCCGATACCGAATTACAGAGCGCTGAAATTGCTGTAAAATAAGCAGTTTAAGGAGTTTTGAAGGAGACTAGGAGAAGATGGATGTCCCGCGTAGGCGAGCCAGCATAATGGCATGATCAGATTGTGGAAATACAGACGCACAATGCTGCCTGCAAAACGAAGCACAGTTAGCCCAAAGGCCTCCTCCGTGTCCGTAAGACCGTCCTTCCAACCATTTAGACGGCTTTGCTGTTTATCCGTGGATGCATTCGAGGCCCCAGAACTGCTCACAGTACTCGAGGTGTGGCCATACCAAAGCTGAGCGCAGCAGGATAATCACCTCTTTTGTCTGGATGGTTGAATACGGGGTTTGCTGCACCCCAGGGTGGGGTTTGCCCTCCTGGCTGCCCGGGCTCTCTCTGCTGCCTCACACTGAGCTTCTGCTGACCAGCACTCCCAGATCCACTTCTGCAGGGCTGGTCTCCAGCCACCTCTCTCCCAGTTTGTACCTGTGCCCAGTATTATTCTGTCCCAGGTACAGAATCTAGCATTTGTTAAATCTCATGTCACTGAGTGACACTGGAGCTCAGTGCTCCCGTCCATCCACATCTTTTTGTAAGGCCTCTCATCTCTCAAGAGAGTCAACAGCTCTTGTCAGTTTGGTATCATCAGCAGATTTGCTAATGGTGCATTCACCTCCTGCACCTAAATATAAATATAAATATAAATATATTGAACTCTAGAACTGAGCCCAGAGGAACACCACTGGTGACCCATCACCAGCCAGATGCAGCCTCACTGACTGCACCGCTTTGAGCTCTGCCCTCCAGCCAGTTCTTTACCTAGCACACTGTGAACCTGCTTATCCCACAGTTCAACAACTTGTCCAGAAGGATGCTGTGAGGGGTAGTATTAAAAGTGTTATCCAGAAAAAGTACTTCCACTGCCTTCTCTTTGTCCTCTCTAGGTGGGTGACCTTACGATAGAAAGATATTAAATTAGTTAAACAGGACTTTACCTTTGTGAAGTCAAATCAGTGGGTCATTAATCACACTTGTGTGGAGCACAGATGAATGAGCTTCTTGGTAGATGTGAGATGTTCACAGTTGGAAACACTGGGTGACGGGAGCTGATCCTGAACGGGAGCCTGACTGACATTTCAGACAAAAAGAAGCTGATTGAAATGTCTGAAGTGGAAAGAGTATGTAGGTCTCAGAGCAATTAAAAGTTATTTCCACATGATGAATTTCAGTAAGGGAAAGAAAAGCCCAACCTTTCTGTTTTAAGTTGGCATTATAAAATGCATGATGTACTTTTCTTTGTGTGGTGTTGCTTGTAGCATATTAATTGTCTACATGTGACTGAGTCCACTTTGGCATTGCCATTCAGACTGCTTTCACATTTTTAACGTTGTCATTTGCCTGTGTTGTCACATTTCCTGTTTTTATGCACTGTTATTTGCCTAAGATTGATAAGGAACGACAACAAAATAGTTCCTGAGAAAATTTCCCTGTATTTTTGGTGCAATAACCAATAAAGTAGCAACTTACTGCTTTCCCTGCTGCTGGTACTATCTTGGTGGACAGCAACAAACCTTACTTGCTTTCTGTGCAGAGCAGATGAGTGTCAGTTTCTCCTTTGCTTCTTGAGTGTCAGTGACAGGCAGTTCTGGGCCAGATGATGGAAAAGGAACACCAGAAAATTGATTTTGTTACATGCTCTTATATCTGTAATATAACAATGAAAATACATAATGGTCAGTATTAGGTCACACCTGAGTAGAATGTCAAATCCTTACAAGATGTAGGAAAAGCTTTAGGATAATATTTTTCAAAACCTATTTGTTGAAGTTTTAGAATAATAATATAGAAGCCTTTGAGCAAAATGGAGTTGAAGAAGAAAAGGGGGGGGGTGGGTGGGTAAAGGAAGGTCTTAGAGGAGATAAATTGGAAATCCATGTTTAGTTTTTTACCTAGTACAAGATCATTGCATCATTCAGTCAAATTTAAAAAGCAATGGATCTAAATTTGGATGCGAAAGTAATTGTATTTAATTGATTTATGTAACTGACTGTCATGGAACATAAGAGGGGCAAAAACTTAATGGAATTAAAAAATACTAATTTTTAAAATTATGAGAAGAGAGCTGTAATAATACAGTGAAACAACTTCTCCAGCTTTGGGAAGTGAATTAATCTCTAGGTGTTTAGAAGACAAAAAAACCAAAAAAAAATCCAAAACAAGGAAACAAAGCCTTAATCTGGATCTGCAACATTTATATGTCTATATGAAAACAAAGCATTCTCATCCTTGCAATAGTGTGATTTAGCAGAAGATACCTGTCATTCTCTGGTACAGTCCCATAACAATGTCACTTTGTTTTTTGTGCTTCATCCTGGGGCCATGATAGTCATAGAAAACCTTCTAGCAGTATCTCACTTGGGGTTTTTCTTTTACAGAAAACAGAAGTAATTGAAGAAGCCTTTCCTGGGTAAGTGGAATACTGCTTTATTTGTGCAAGGTTTTATGTATAAATGTATTTTTCTACTTGTTTCATTGGGTACTGCTAAAAACTGATGTTCTTATTTGCATTAGGATGTTTATGGATACTCCAGAAGATGAGAGAACCAAACTGATCAGCTGCCTGGGAGCTTTTAGACAGTTCTGGAGCAGTCTTTCCCAGGTTAACATTTGATTTGTTGCTTACATCTTTGTACTTTATATACTTTTTTAATACAAAGATATCTTTCCTAGTAGATAAACAGTTAAGCTATAATGTGTGTGCCCCGTTATTCAGAATCTCGTTCCAGACATGGCACAGTAAAGAATATAGGAAGACTTTGCTAGAAAAGAAAGGCAGTTTTGAGATTGGTAAGGTTATATAGCTGTTCAGCAGAGGTTGGTGTGCAGTGCAAATAAAGATAAGCAAGTAGAAGTGTAACAGTAAAGAAATAAAAAATAAAAGGTAGTTTGTTACAGAATTTTTAGTAGAAGTGAACAAGTATATAGAAGAGAAAAATATAAAATGAGACGGTTAGGTTAAAAAAATCACCTTTCAAAAGCTAGATACCTCCAGACATGCTCCATAGTTGGAGGCCTGTTCATCTTTATTTTCACTGAATTTGATTATAATTGTGAAAAAAAAAAAAATTGGTCTGTTCTTAGTTGTGAAAACCAAAGCTGACTATAGAAATCAGTGGTTAAGCTAGGAAATGATTCCTGTATTGGCCAGTAACTGGTCAGTACAGCTGACCAACTTCTGCTGGACAAATGAGCTTCTTCAAAATAATATCAGAAGATTTGTAGGAAAAACTATATGTTGAGCAACTGGATCGCTTCTACTGATATATAGATCTGTTCTGGTGTTAGTTTCATTTTTTTCATAGTAGAATACTATATGAATTTTATAGTTTGTTTCACTACCTGCAAATGCATTCTTTCTCTCTTTCTCTGTTGTTTTTTCAGGAGTCTCATGAACAGTGTGTCCAGTGGATTGTAAGATTCATTCATAGCCAACATAGTCCTAAAAGAATTTCTTTTCTTTATGACTGCCTAGCAATGGCAGTAGAAACTGGACTTTTGCCACCCAGGTGAGCTGTGTTGGAGTAACTGATTAGATACATGGAAGATGTTGTATTTGAGGTATTTTTGCAATGACATTGTACAGTTACTGCTGGAAAACCTGTGCTTAGTATCTGCCATTCAGTCTTGCATTGTCTTCTTCTGCTAGGATGGTTTGTGAATCTCTGATAAACTCCGATACACTTGAGTGGGAAAGGACTCAGCTGTGGGCATTAACATTTAAATTGGTTCGGAAGATTATTGGAGGTGTAGACTACAAGGTATCTTCCACTCATTCCTTTCTCTTTGCAAAGACACATTATTTGCTACCTTTGTTTTTATGATTTTATCTCAGAGACATCCAATTTTTCAAAGTCTGATTTTCTTAGAAAATTCAATGAGCACTTTTAATGCTTTTTGAATTTTACCCTAAGAGATAATTTTTTATTTACAGTGTAACTGTTAGTACTCTTTTCTTTGTTACAGTCCTTTCCCTCCATTTTCAGGTACAAGCTGAATAACCCTAATGCAGTTGCAGAGGTGGTGAACACAGGAAAATAAAAACTATCAAGCATTAAGGCTGGAATTCTGTCATCTGCTTTAACCTTTGTTACTACGTAGCAAAAAGCTCCTGAAAGCTTGAGTCCCTGGCATGGTATGACTCCAACAGAAGGAGCAGGAAACCATGCATGTCGTGCAGAGAATCACCTCCCTGCATTGTTGATCATGTTAGGTCAGAAAACATAAAATACAACATTGTGCTCTGCTCAGGCTGCAAAAGGCTTTGTAGGTTGGATGTCTTTGGATGCACATCAAAATACCAACTTTATCTTCCGGAGCGTCCTAGGACTGAGAAGTTCCATAAGGGATTTAATGTAATTAGTGTTAAATTTTAATGTAATCAGTATTAATATTCTCAGTAGCAGTTTGTCTTCTGACACTTAGCAGCAAGAACTAATTTTTCTGTCAAAATACTGTCTGACCATATTGATTGTGTAATCTTTCTGCCAGAAATAAAGACTATCTAGGAACCTAGATGGGTTTTAACCTCATGGGTTTTCTTTCAGGGTGTGCGGGATCTGCTGAAAGTGATCCTAGAGAAAATCCTAACAATTCCAAACACCGTGAGCTCAGCTGTTGTACAGCAGCTTTTAGCAGCAAGAGAGGTAATTATATGGATTTTATACCACTATAGAGGAAGATAGGCCTCATCCTCTTGTTATTAGTGAGTTTCTGATTGTTGGTGTGGTTCAACAGGAAGGTCTTACTCTTTCTGTTCTAATTCTCTACTGTAATTGCAGTTTATGCAGTAAACAAAGAGCTTTTGTGGGGTATTATAAGTAAGTGTTAGAATCCCTAATAAGAGAGTCAGGCCCAGTGCTTGACTTCCCTAAGGTAAGATGTATAGGATGTAATAATGATTAATAGTTTTTTCTTAGTGAATGAAAATAGCAATTGTTTTCAGTACTTTGTGGGCAGACATAGAGACGTGGTCTTAATTAGGCTCAGTCTAACGAATACAACTTAAGAAAAAGTATTTTAATTCTTGTATATATTTTAGTGGGCTGTCACAGACTAGTAGACAGATGACATGTGCATTTATCCTATCCAGAGTCTTGTACACTGATGTATTTTTTTATTTATAGGTGGTAGCTTACATATTGGAAAGAAATGCTTGTTTGCTGCCTGCCTACTTTGCAGTTACAGAAATCAGAAAACTGTATCCTGAAGGAAAACTACCCCATTGGGTAATTATACATGTAAAAGAATGTACCCTGGAATTTTGTTGCACAAAATGGCTGTATTTTAAAACCAAGTTTATGTGAAAATTTAAATTCTGCTCAACAGTAAGCTCTGTATTTAGTTATATAAATTAAGATACAGGCTTGATATATTGCAGCAGCAGCTCCCTGTGTTCTTGCATGAAACTGATGACACGATTTTGACCTGTGGTCTAATGTTCAAAACTTTTGAAGCACTGAGTTGGTTTTCTTGAATACATTTGGAAATGCAGGTCATGCATACCTACCACTTTGTGCTTTCTCAGGATAAGAAAAATCACTTTATGTAGTTGACCAGTGTTTTCTGTGTTTATTATGCAGAGATTTGGGGCTCTGGTGGGATGAAAATTGTCATTGTTTCCCAAATGTAATGTAATATCAATCCAGTTCTTAATTTTGCATTCTGTTGAAATAACCAGGTGTTTGGAAAAGGGTAAAATCCCAACTCCCTTGTATTAATGGGAAAACGGTTACTGTCTTTTGAGAGAAGATTTAAAGTAGATTTTACTGATCTGGATAATTTTTCTACGTGGAATTGTTATTCAGCAGCAGAGATTTTTTATGAACAGAAGTTATAAGTGCTATGCCTTCAAATAACAGTTTGCATAGGAGACAGTTCTTATATAAGCTCCTACTTGAGTGCAAACGGGGAAGAGTGCTTGCTGCACCTCCTTTCTCATGCCACATTTTAATTTTTTTATTTTATGTTCCAGATGATTTTTTTCAACTTTTTGAAATAGGAAGCTAGCTATTTTAGTAGGTTTCTGCATATTTTATTAAAACGCATACATGTATATGTTTTAAAGTCTAAAAAATTCCTTATCAGTGTCTGGAACTTAAACCCTAATTTTTTTTCCTCTTCTCACCCAGTTACTAGGTAATTTAGTATCAGATTTTGTGGATACCTTCAGACCTACAGCAAGAATAAATTCTATTTGTGGTAAGAGAATGACTTAATGAATGACTTCTAAATAAATTAATTTATTTAGAACTATTTTTTTCTTAGAACATTTTGGGACCTATGTCATCGAAGCCAAATATCTTATGTTTCATCTAGTACCTCTACTCTTGTCAGTTTGTTTTCAGACTTGATCCCTTCAGTTTCTGTTTTGAAGGGGAAAATTCATTGATGAGGTCAAAATAATTTTTCGCCACCTGTTGGTAGTGGAAGTGTACTACTTGTTATATGGTCATATGGTTTGTAACTACAGGTCACTAGCAGATGATTTCTAACTACATGTCACTGGCAGAATAGGGAAATTACAGGCTTTCTGTGCCCAAGGATTTTGAGTTAATATGTATCCACTGGGATGCTAGTCTTGGAGTGTTTTGACATCAGTTTCTGTTGGAGCTTTTGTAGGTGCTCATCCTCTTCTTGGTTGTAGGATTCTGGGTGAATGTTTCCTAGCTCAGACAGGTGCTTGTTCTACTTTTCTGTGAAAGAAGTGCTCATCTTCATTTATTGTTAGAAATCCGATGATCAAAATTTGGCTGTTTTAATGTGATGCCTTCTGCATTTTTCTTCAAAAGATAGAAGTGTCTTCTGTTTGCTTTGTGTAGTTTAGTAAGAGCTGCATTAGTTCTGAGCAAGGTTTATTGAGATGGAGCTTCTTTAGTGCAGAGATTCAAAATGTAAATTCATCTGTAATGCTCCCAAAGCGTTTTGTTTCAGAAGCATCTAGTTATTCTTGTACTGAAAGCGTGGCATAGCTTTTATTTATATGACTTTTATTTATATGACTGACAGGGATCACATTCCAAATGTTGTATGTGCAAATGACCTATACAGATATGATTGAAGGGAAGAAATAAATGTTTATTTACTTCTTGCTCTATCTGATAATAATATGGCCAGTTTGGATAATAGAAGTCATGGAATTTGAACTGAGAGAGGTCAAAATTGAGCACCTAAATTTTCATTCTGCTATACAGGTTTGCTTGGAGCTCAGTTCAGATGCTTATGTTTAAGCAACTAAAATAAAGGCTAGTTGGCTAGCTACTAGCTACACTGGCTAGCTGTTAGACTACACTGACTAAAAAATGTAAATTTAGCCTACCAAACACATGTCATGTGTTTTGGTCTCACTGCATTGATTGGATCTTCACTGACTTATATTGAAATACACATGCTTGCATTTGACTGCTTTACTGAACACAATCTTTCTCCCAGGTTCAGTGAAGGGAAATTGAAAGACTGTATTCTACTTAGGTTTATAAGGCTATTTTCTTTGTGGAAAGGGTCAGTCTGCTGAAATCAAATCCCTAGGTCAAGCAATGGCAGGGGAACCAGTATTCTGGTAATCTATAAGGATACTTTTAGGTTGATATTTGCAAGTAGTTTTATTTTTGGTGTACCCAGTGTGAATAAATGGGGACTTTACTGCTTAGATATTTTATTAGTTGAAAATTAGTTAGAAAAATAAAATCAGTTTGAAGCAATCCTGTGGTAAAAGTGTTTAAACGGTGGAAATTTAAGGAGAGCTTAAAAGTGGCCAAGGCCAGTTTTTGCATCAAAATGATTAGGCAATGGGCCAGTTTCACTGGCTGAGAATTTGTTTCATTGCATGTAGGTCGCTGTAGTCTCCTTCCTGTGGTAAATAACTCGGGTGCCATGTGTAACTCATGGAAGCTGGATCCTACAACCCTTCGTTTTCCTTTGAAAGGTCTCTTACCATATGATAAGGTATGCCTTATTAAACTTCTTAAACCGGTTATATTCAGTAAAACAAAGCTTTTATGTCATTAAAGTGGAGAAAAATTTCAGCCCTGAACATCCATCTCTTCCAGTTAGGCTAGCTTTCAAGGTGTGGGTATTTTATATTTCAGTGTTTTCAAGCTACATACAGAGGACCTGGAATAATGTTTGATATAACTGCTGTCCAGGATACTGAAGAACATGAGACATAATTTAATGTGCTATGTGAGTGTCTACATGTGAGAGAGCAAGTGAGAGCAGAGAATTGATTGGAAAATTGGCCAGATGGAAGAGAATGGGAAAGTAATTTCTTCTTTTCTGTGCTCTTCATTATTCTACAGGAAAGATAATTTACAATTCAAACTTAAAGTTTGCATATTTAAACTTAAAACTCTGAATGTGAAGTAGGGGTATACTTGAAGAATTCAAAGGATCAGGACAAAAATCCATGTTGTCCTGCATCCAATTCCCATACCCTAGATGTCTAAGAAAGGAAATAAATACAGTATGTCTAGTGACGTGTATAGTGCTCACAATCTACAGCCATTATAATTTTGTGTGTTTCCTGACACAGACGTGGTTTCTCTGTATTTAGTAAACCTTCATCTCCCAAATACTTCTTCAGACTCTTCTTGAGTCTCTGTAAGCTTTTAGTATCATTAACATTCCTTTGACAAGGAGTGCCACATTTCAGTATGTTGCATGAGAAATCATCTCCTTCTGTTTGTTTTGAACACCTCCGGATAAGATTTTTATTTAAAGTGATTCAGGCTGTTGGAAGGTGCAGTGAGCAGCTGTTTCATACCTAATTTCTTCATATCAGTCATGATTTCTATGCATTTTGGTGCATTTCCTCTGTTGTCTCACTTTGTTTCCTTTGAGTTCAAGGCTGTTCCAAGAAGTATACCATCCTTTTCTTGGATGAAGAATGTTCTTCTTGGACGTCATAAAATCTGCAACATCTTAAGAGCTATGGTTATCTGCTCTTTTCTTTTAGTTACCAGAAAGACGATTTCCCAGATAATACATACCTGCATAAATTAAACATTAATTCTTGCATTGTTTATTCAGTTAAATGTAAGTTCAGAATTAAACATGATGAGGCAATATATGTTTGTATGTGATTGCTTGTTTCTTTTTCAAGGATCTGTTTGAGCCACAGACTGCTTTGTTGAGATATGTGCTGGAACAACCGTATTCAAGGGATATGGTCTGCAATATGCTAGGTCTGAATAAGCAGGTACTGTACTGTGCTGTAACACGTGATTTAATTCTGCATAGAATCTGCACTATTCTTTTTCTCTTTTCTTTGCTATAGCTAACTAAGCAAAACAGTTTAGGTACGGAGAGTGATTTTTTTTTTTTATGGGATCATATTAGGTTAATTGGACACTGTTATTCTTATCATTTGTATATTGCTTTACGAATGTTAAATTAAAAAGTAGAGATTTAAAATATGATTTTTTTTTGCATTGCTTTTTTTTCCTATAAGGCCAGCCTCAAGTACACCTTTGACAGACAGTAGGAGACTGGTTATTGTTCGTTGGTTTTTAAAGCATTGTTGTACTCTGTTATACTGGAATGTTATAGTACTAGAATAGTTGAAAGCTGGGCTTTGTTTTGTTACATTTTTTCTTTTGAAACCTTAGAATGGGGGGCTTAGTCTGACTTGGGGATCCTTGAGGCTGGCCTCATAGTCACTGTTTTGTCTTTTCTTTTTTTCTTCCTTTATTTTTGTTCTGTCCTGTCTTGTCCTGCCCATCCTCCAATGCTCTAGACCTTGAACATTGCTCAGGTATGTTCACAACCTTACTGTTGTATTGTGACTAACGATACGCTGGCCGCTTTGTAGCCACTGATTCTAGGTAGAGAATACTTGTACAGTCAGGGCTTGAAATTGGCAGGATCATTAGTCAAGGACAAATTCTCCCTACAATTCTCTAGAGATATGAGAGATGTAGCATAAAGCTGACAGTCAGTGGTCCTTTGATAGTAAAATTTTTATTGGAATGGACTGCTACCATTTCCCTTACCAGTCATAACTTTTACTTTGCTGGAATTTTCAGATGAGGAGAGATTTTAGTTCAAAATTTCTTTCCTTAAGCCGGTGGAAAAAACATCCACGGGACTTAATTGTCAAAATATAAGGCTGTAAATACATCATTTAAAAAAAGAAAGATTTACTAGTGGAATATTCTTACCATTAGGAAGCCTCTGTAAAGAACTTCCCAACAGGCAATTATAATATTCTCCAGTCTAGGTGAAAAAAGAGTAGTGCAGAATACCACACAAAAAGTAGTTCCTTAAAATTTTGACTACTTGTTTAAATAAATAAACACCTGAGCAAGTCAAGCAAGTGGACTTCTGCTTGAAATTTGAAATGATGGGTGTTATATTTATAGTTTATCCCTCATTACACTAATAATTGCCACACCTACTTTAAAAAAACAGTATTTAAGACTGATAAAATAGCGTTGCTGTTTGCAATACTATAGTGAAGGTTGTGTCAGTGTTTCCATTTAAGAAACTTTTTTCAGGTTTGTAACTTGACTATAAAATCTACATGATCCTGAAACCTTGTGTACATTTCCCAATGTAATGGAATACACCAGTGCATTTCCTGAACTGGTACAATGTTTTTCAATGCACAGATTCCTACATCTTGGCTGGCAGTACTCTGTGTTGTTCATGATGATCTTTTGTACCTGAGACTTAAAAGCAGCTGAAATGTTAAACCTTGGAATTGAGCTGCTAGGTTTACTGTTTAAATGAGTAGTATTTGTGTGTCTTTCTGTGTCTGCATTGAGTTGATAAACCAAACTATTCCTCTATCCATCTTGTAGCTGGTAAATAATGCAAGATACAGACAAAAATTATGTTGAACCCAATTTATTCTTCTAACTATGGATGGTTTGTCCTTTTATGTAAAAAAAAAAAAAAAAGTTAAAAATGCTGGGTTTTAACTCCTACTTCACCATCCTCTAAAAGTAATTGAAGAAATAAATTGTATTAAATTATACTTTTTTTGAAATTTGTCTGCTAGTATAGGAATTCCTACACAAAGTTTCATCCTGGCGTGTATTTTTATGGCCAAGGAACAAATGTGAAGAATGTAGCTTATAAAGGAAATGCTGACAGAACATGAACTATAGCTGTGCTACTAGTTACACCAGCATAAAGACATTGAAAATTTGTGAGTTGAAAATACAGATGTAGAGGTGGGTGGTACAGTGGTATAAAACAAGAAATATGTTCCATTTAAATGTTAATATTCTCTGCATAAAACTGTGGAAAACATTAAAATTTTACTTGTTTTTAGGTACAAATTACCTTTGTGTTATATTTCAATTTGTTAATGTAGCCACCTGACAAAAAATAGTAGCATGCTTTTCAGAAGTTGTGTAACTGTATCAATGCTTACAGTAAAATGGCTGATAATTTTGTATTTTATTATTAGTGAAATAACCTGCAGAAATTTAACTGTCACTATAATAGAAGACACTTAAAAATGCAAATAGTGCCAAGTTTGTTTCAGAGTAAATAAACACCTCAACGCAATGATCATTATTTATTTATGATCATTAATTATTTATGTGGAGTTGCTTGTATGCCCTGTCAACTATTTACACAGATCCAGTTGCAGGATTGGAGCCTTCATTTGAATCTTTTGGCATCACAATCTCTAGGTATGGTTCAGCCAGATTTGTCCTAGTTCTCAAATATTCTTGAAGATGAACAATGAAATTTTGTGGGTCGGTCTTAACTAAGCATATCTGTGTTAGAAAACCATTCACTCAAGCCATCTCTGAGTTATGTAAAAAATATACAAATCCAGCTGTCCTGTTAACCTTGCAGGGAGAAAAATGAAGGTAAAATTTCATATGTTTATAGATTCATGTGTTCCTTTCAGGACCTGTGGGATAAGGTTTTGCAATACCATTATCAAGTATATGGTTTTAAGTCCAAATGTAATAATATGGACTTCAAAATGTTTCTTTTGTTGATGTCTGGGGACTCTGAGTTTTTGCTACTGTGTACTTCTGTGTGGGACAGTACATGCTCTTGTATACCTGTTTGAATTGGTCTATAGGAAATAGAGGTTTAAATTGTACTTTATCCTTTATATTATCATGGCTTGCCGTTGAAATCTTAAGGGTCTTATCCAACCTAAATGACTCAATTCTATGTCAGTTTATATTCTCCTGCTAGGTGGGGTGACAATTTAAATTCTTAGTTATTTTTTAAAATAATTTTTTGAGCTATATAACAATTTGTTTTTTTGGAAAATGATTAACAATTCAGAGTGTCTTAATGCACTGATACCACATTAAGATTTGGTTTTGGGATCTTACAGTTGTTTCTTAAAACGGAACTAAAGTAATGTCTTCAGGACATGAACTCACTTTGGAGGTTTTGGTTTATATCTTTACCTCCTCTGTATGTACAGACTTATGTGAAGAATAAAATGCCATTTTTGCTTGCATAGCTGAGTTAGGATCTTGTTGCAGTCCTCTAAACAATCAAAAAAACCTGTTATTTTGATTTCTGTGGTTTGGAGAATATTTGAGAGAGGAGGTAATTTTCAGGGGTCTAGTTTCTGTAATATAAAAATGTTTAATTAGCAGCTGTTGTATTAATGATTTTGCTCTTTAAATAGTGGAGTTAGCTGGTCAGCTGTTCAACCAGCAGTGGTGATTTACAGTTTATCTATGCCTTACTCTGTGCAGGTGAATGTATAATTATGTTCTCTGCTAGCTGCAAACCAGGATAATTAGCGTGGGGAAGCTGTTGTAAGCAGAACTGTTAAGTGAAAGGGATGGCATAATGCTATATTTAAAAATTGACTTTCACTTTTATTTTTAAAATTTCAGTTGATGCTGGGGTCTTACTACCCAGTTTTACTGGTGATAGTGTCATGGCAAATAAAAGGAGTGTGATTATTTTTATATGCTTCTGATTGTATGGGTGTGCATTGAGAACACTCAAGTGTATGTTCCTTTTTTAAACTTACTCCGTTTTTTTAATGAGGGAAACTTGAGAATGGCTGCCAAACCTGGAAGAGATGATAGAATCAGGTATAAACAATAAGCTTGAAGGTTTTGTGTCCTCGTAGCATACAGTTCTGGAAAGTGGAAGTGTTGGAGCAGTTCTGTTATGTTTTAACTAGTTTAGGCATTTTGAATTGGACTTTTGGAGACACCATTTACTCTTGTAGGGATCTCAACCTCTGTGATTTGGTATTCTGAGTCTATTTCTTAGGTGTAGTTATTTACTAAATGTTGTTTAAAATACTCAAAGGCTATCATAGCCATCAGCCAGCCTTACTGACTACTTAAAATATTTTTCTTGTAGGAAATAGTTTTAATGCTAACAATGCCCCTGCCACACCTTTCAATACCCACCCTGTCTCAAAAAAAGAAGGAATTAAAAACTCAAAGCCAAATTCTTCAAATAAGAATAACAAGCCACCATACAAGTGAATCTCTGATCCACTTAAATACCACTAGTCCATTAGAGGGCTGGTCTCAAGAAATTTTAGTGTCAAGTTGTCATGGAAGTACATTTTTACCCCCCCTGTATTTCTTCATGCTTTAATAATGTTTTCAGTGAAATTATGTATTTTCAGGTCTTGAAATGTTTTTTACAGAACAAAATGGAGAATGTGTTTGTACACTCAAATTGTAAAAATTAGAGTCATGTTTACTTTAGGGGAAAAGCATAGTGATTTTGAATGCTGGATTTTTTCATACATAATCCAGAACAGCGTTTGGAGATTTTTTGTTGTTCGTTTTTGTTTTCCTTAAGCCATGCCAAAACATAAATTCCTACTTATCTGTGAGGGCAATCAGCTCTCACCTATAATTTTATTCATCTCAGTTTATACTGAGATTTTCTTTCACTTTTGAGCAATTAATAAAACAAGGGCCCAATCCTGCAAAATCCTGTGCAGTACAGTATTTTATTTCCAAGAGTTCTGAAACTATAGATACAAGATCTTTGCAGAAGTGTATATTCACTGAAAATACAGAAGAAAGAAATTGCCAGAAAATTAAATTGATGAATGAGGATAGAGTAGTACTGCTATTTTTCTGATGGAAAATTGTCTTTAAAGCAATGAAAGTGTGGTCTGCAGAATAAAAGCTTGAATTGATTTTTTTTAATTTCCTGGCTCTTAAACTTTTCCCAGAGTTAGAATTATTCAGAATAGTAAAAATTCCTACTGGAAATTCTGGCTCTCTTTTTTAACAGTAATATTTTTCCTGTTGTGTTCTTTGAATAACTTTATTCCAAATTAAAATGGCCTAACATGATTAGGCTTTTGGACATTAACCCAGTGCTTAGCAAACAATTAAATTTCAAGCCCTGTACACAGTAGTTTTGCATGCTGGATTATAAACTAGTCTGTAGTGTTGTCTGTTGCACCCTGCTCTGCTTCATAATTAGTTGCTTTCGGAGGGGGAGAAAAACGAGCCACAAAAGACCCAAAGTGTTCTGAACTGATGGTGCCAATACTGCTCTCTGTAAACCTGTACCGTGGTTGGTCTGTGATAATGACATTGCGTACTGGGAGAAAAGGTATCATCGATGCTTTCTGTCTTAGCTAGAGGTTTGTGTTAAGCATGCTTCAAGAAGGCACAGCTGGAATTGTAGCTTTCTGCAGTTTTGAGCTGGCAAAGAGCATGCAACAGGGGATGCTGTTCACTGTATTTTGTCAACTTTTCCAATTCTTGCATTCTGTTTTTAATTGAAGAGAATCTCTTTTTTTTTCATAGCAAAAGACTACCATCAGTGAAGGTAGAACAAGCATCTCCTTTCAGCATCTCTCTTTTATTATATCTTTATATTAGCCTTTTTTTAGACTGCTTGGCTAGTAAGTTAAAGAATTCATCTAAGACATCCCTAAAATGTTTTATGAGTATTGGGGTGATCTTTAAAAACTTTTTTACATACACCTTTTTGCCTCTAGAAAGGGATAATGCATTTTCATGATTAGTGTTTGAGCAGCTCAGTTCCTTTTCTTTTGTATCATAAAGTAATATTTTTTCTTTAAGGCTGCATTATGTTACAGGCATCAGGCCAAATAAAAAAATGAATAAATGTGACCGTTCCTGAGTACAGGTTGCATTGAAACAAACAGGTTAGATTATTTCCAAAATGCTAGCACTTTCTGAGAAGTTAAGCTATCTGTGTTTTTTTTTCCTTAGTTATAATACATTATGTCAGTGTAGCAATACAAATGCAGGATAATAACGAAAAGTTGTTGCACTGAGGATCTTGTAACATGTGACATTATACTTGGTAGTCTTGAACAGCAGATTTATAATCTGAGTGCCAAATTACTGGTAGTGGACCTCTTTTATAGACATCTGTACTAACAGAATATATCTGAATATATAATGCATTCCCTTCTTGATAATTATTAAAAATTATCAGAGATGGTGTGTATTTTAAATTATTTCTGGGTTTGCATAGCTCAGTATGAAGACTGTGGCAAGCTAACATCTGAGGGGCTCCTCACTCTGATTTGTAATTTTTCTGTTTACAGTATGTAGAACGCACCACTGATTAATTTTCAAGCCTTTTGGATGATATAACCTGCAGTGCTGTGTCAGTAGGACAGCATCTAGTTATAGGGTTATTAACCAGATACTAATTCTGCTGCTGCTTGCAGGTGATAGGTGAACCCAATATGAGAGTGAAAAAGAGAATAGTCGTTAAATATTTTTGTCATGTATTGGGATGTTTGCTCTGAATTTGATGGTACAATTGATACATTTTCTTTATGGTGATCCCTACTTTTGAAATGGACTTAATGGAGAAAAGAAGAAAAAAAAAATCAGCAAAAAAACCCAAATCAAATAAAAAAACCCCCACCTGTTTGTTTAAAGAATGGGCTTTGTTTTCTGTCTTTGACTGTGAGATCAGAGAAATAACGTTCTGCCTGAATTTACTATAAAATAGCAAAAAAACTTTCAGATGTTACCTGTCCATTGATGAAGTGTGTTTTGGAACTGAGTAGGGAATTATGGAATATATGATAAAATGTAAAAATCATTGTGACCTGTAACATAGTGCAGCTTTAATATACTGGCTTATCCTTAACTTAAGTTCAGACTTCATCTCATGCTTCCCAGCCTTCTGTCAAAAAACTGTACTGTAACTGCAACTGTGCAAGTTCTGGAGTTAATGGCAAGGCTTTTGGAATACTGTATCTGATCTCTGCCTTACAGCACAAGCAACGTTGCCCTGTGCTGGAGGACCAGCTGGTGGATCTTGTGGTGTATGCCATGGAACGGTCTGAGACTGAAGAGAAGTTTGATGATGGTGGAACCAGTCAGCTTCTGTGGCAGCATCTCTCCAGCCAGCTCATTTTCTTTGTGCTCTTTCAGTTTGCAAGTTTTCCTCATATGGTGCTGTCACTCCATCAAAAGGTAAATTGTTTGTAACGCTCCCACACGGTAAGAGGGATTTAAAAAACAAAACCAGTATTTTTTTAAAAAGTGTCACTTATCCCTACAAGTAGTACCTTATGTGTAAGAATTAATTAAATTTTTAATCACTGTTCTCTCTAGAAGTCAAATTCACAAATTATGGTGCTGTGAGATAGGTGTGTTTTTAGTGTATTCAATTACAGGATGTTGCATTTTATTTGGATTCAAAGTGTGCTAATAACTAGAATAAAGAGATAAACTGGCATAATTCAGAAGATCAAAGTACTGTGCTGTGGCATCCAGTTTTCAGATGAGTTTTGAACAAAGTGAATGCCCTGTTCTGTTTGTGGACTAAAAAAATACGCCATGCAAATGGAGGTAGTAACTTGCTGATTGTCTAATCAATCAATCAGTCAACAATCAAAGGTAATTTGTGCAATTATGGTGACACTGGTAATCACAGTCCCAAGTTATTATTACATTCTAGTAATAATTCCATTAAAACTGATAATAATATTTGCCCTTTCCTCTGGTGCTGAGGGTTATAGTTCTAAGGGTGGTGATGCCAGTCCTCCACAAGAAGGGAGAGGAGGAGTTACAGTCAGCCAGCAACATCCTGAGCTCTTTGTTGAGAGAGCTATATGCTGTTGATGGTGGGGTAGGGATGTTCTTTCTCATCGCTGTAGGATCAGCTTCTGGCTATATAGATGCAGTTTCCAACACACACAACACATTGCTCTGTCTTCATTTGTCCACAGTTCCATGTTACATAAAAATGTACTATGTATGTTGTGTTCCACTTGTGATGGATTGTGGTTCTCTGCTCTTTTTGTTTTCCCTGAAATTAGTTTTACCAGGGCTGTATTCCTGTAATTACCGTTAATAAACAATTGAAACAATGGACATTATACAACACAATTGCACAAATCTAGTATAAAACTACAGCAAGCAAGATAAGAATAGAATATTGGTTATTCGAGAGTTGCTGTTGCAGGTAAAGAAGTTCATTGACAAAAACAAACCCAGGTGAATCCAGATGAAGCAAACCAAAGTTGTTCTGGCTTAGGGACTTCCTTTGTAGGAGTTCTAAAAACCTGTGGCCTGATGCTAGCAATGGCAATACTGTACTTTACTAAAGGCCTACAAAGTGACAATTTAAGACCAGTATTTAAGTGTTGCTAGTTTTTCAAAACAGTGATCCTCAGGAGTTAAATGCATTTTAAATCTTACCATTAATTGTTGTGGCCCTCACCGAGTCCGTTCATGTGTTACAACTAATGTACTTATTTTCTTTCTTTCTGAAAACAATGTATGTTTCTGCCTAAGTCCTGCTATAAAATTTTCTGCTGAAACTGTTTTAGTCTGCCCTTCTACTTTTATAAGAATCTTTGCAGTGATTTTTCTTCTGCATGCAGTATTTTTCTGTTACTGAGTGTTCTTGACAGTTGGCAGGCCGTGGTCTTATTAAGGGGAGAGACCACCTGATGTGGGTGCTACTCCAGTTCATCTCTGGCAGCATCCAGAAGAATGCACTGGCTGACTTCCTCCCAGTCATGAAGCTGTTTGACCTCCTGTATCCTGAGAAAGAAGTAAGTCTCTGACATTAAAAGTTTTATTTTTAATTCCACTTGGGACCTTCATATGTTGGTATTACTATCCTTCTTGAGTCATTCTTAGACCAGTGTGCTGCGTAGTTGGAGGGAGATGTTTCATAAGTTTTTTTTTGAAGATTTCATATCCATGAAATTTGTATCCACATTTGTTTTTAGGGGCAAGTTAGACTTGTGTTAACTCCTCTCTTCCTTGGCTTTGGTTTGACTAAGGTTTTGAGGAGTTTGTTAAAGCACTGAGGAGACGGTAAAGGAAAAATGTGTAATTCTGTTGTAACATCTGGGCTGAAACAGAATAGTACTCGAAATTCATTTTGCAGGGGCAAATCAAATCAATCCATGCTTTGTACATTCCTCTAGAATTAAAATTGCTGTGGAAGGGGCGCTTATAAGAAGTTCTTAAACTGTAATTCTGATAGCATTGTCATTGTGAAGTCCTGAGTGCTTACTCTTTTCCTAGTGCTTTTTAATTTGGGTGAATGGATAGACAAATACAAGTGTGTGATGTATCAAACTCATATGTAACAATTTTCCCCCCTGCTGCATTAGTTTTGACCCACAGAAATTCTTCAGTGCAATTTGTGTCAGATTTCAATTGCTTTTGTCAGCATCAAATATGGGAAGAGTAATAGAAGAACTGTTTACTTCAGCTGTAGTGATGGCTCCCAGTTACACTTACTGAAAGTCTTTCTTTGACTAGTGCTTTTTAAGTGCTACATTTTAAGTGCTTGTGAAACTGAATGCTAGGAAGCATTTTTTCAGATTCAGTTTGACAAGCACTAAAAATGTTATCTCTGGCTATTGTTCATAAGAAGATCTGCCTTGCTATCCTGTTGATCATGTATTGGTGCTGTCCCATTTATGCCCTCAGTGGTATTTGTGCAGCAGTAACTGTATCAAAGGGAAAGAAATGTGGGTGTTGGCAAAAGCGTTCCTTTTCCAATGGCAGTACTGTAGCTAAGTCTGGATCCAAAACTTTTTAATTTTGTGTTGTATCTGTACCTTTTCATGAGAAGCGTACTAATGTTTAAGTATTAACTGTGACACTGAACAATTCAGATTTTTCAGAAAATACTGTTGAACCACTGAGTACCTACTATGGAAGTAGATACCATAATTGGTTTGTGAATAATGTGTAAGTGTGAGGCTGAAAGAAAAAGGATATGCTTTGTAACTACATGTGTCTGGAAACTATACACTCCTAAACATGAATTTCCTTTTGCCAAGGTCTTAGATAATTTGTTTGGTGTGGGTGTTTTTCAGAATAATTACTGAGGTGCAGATCTCTCCCATAGCTCTTGATTTAAAATTACAAACAATGATGAGGGTAGAATCTGTTCTTTAAAAATGTTTCTTATGGTGTAGCAAATCAGAAAAAAAGAAAAACCTGATTTTGTGAATACTTGTTTTTCTGCACATTAATCCATGTGGTATGTCACATTCATGTGTTTTTTCTTTAGTATATTCCTGTACCTGATATTAACAAACCCCAGTCAACTCATGCTTTTGCAATGACCTGCATTTGGATTCATCTGAACCGGAAGGCACATAGTGACAACTCCAAGTTGCAGATTCCCATTCCTCATTCTCTTAAACTTCACCATGAGTGAGTGTGGGGGTTTTGTTATGTTTTGATTTATGTTTAGTTCTAATGAATTAGGTAGTTCCAAGTCTGTCTTCAAAAATGCATTGTGTGATGGGATGCTGTATAAAGGTTTTCAATTGAGTGACTTCAAAATCATTCAAGAGACAGAACTCAAAATATTTCATAAAAAATGAAATGTTGTTATCCAGCTAGTGGAAATGATGTATTTTATAGTATATTGTATATATATATATTTGTGTGTGTATATATTTAAAATATATAAAAATATATTTTATAGAATAGCAAGTCTTTTTTACTGATAGAGAATCTGAAAGCAAATGGACAATTTTGTTACACTGTGGTTTGGAAAGTGTGGATAAGCAGTATGTTAGGTGAAGTTTTTGTCTGGAAAGGTGATTTTAATTGTGCTTTTTCTCCTGAGAAATTTCTATTTCTCCAGTATAGAAAAATCGTAACATGGTGAAACTGTGGCATAAGAAGTAGTTGTGTTGATGTGGTGCAATTATAAGTATTTTGATTTTTTTCTACTATTTTATAATGGGGTTTTTGACTGACATTGTTGTAGTTGTATTCCTGGAATGCATGTGTATTCTTCTTTCTGCTTAACGTTTAATCTTTTTGCACACAGGTTTTTGCAACAGAGCTTAAGAAATAAAAGCTTACAGATGAATGACTACAAAATTGCCTTGCTGTGCAATGCGTACTCAACCAATTCAGAGTGTTTCACTTTGCCAATGGGTGTACTAGTAGAGACTATTTATGGAAATGGAAACATGAGGACACCTCTTCCAGGGACTAATTGCATGGCATCAGGGTCAATCACCCCACTGCCAATGAACCTCTTGGACTCGCTCACAGTTCATGCCAAAATGAGGTAGAGTACATGCAACTAGCTTTTTCTTTTTAACCCATAAATTTGTGTGTAGCTAATTATCATCAGAAAGGCTTTCTGTGGCTGGACGCGTCGTATATAGATCTATTCATTTACTTTAATAATGTGTTAAATTTCAAGTCCATGTTTTTGATTCAAAAACACTTTCTCTCTTTCTTCAGTCTGATTCACAGCATAGCTACAAGGGTAATTAAGCTGGCTCATGCAAAATCTAGTGTGGCCTTGGCTCCTGCTCTTGTGGAAACCTATAGTCGCCTATTGGTTTATATGGAAATAGAATCCTTGGGCATCAAAGGCTTTATCAGTAAGAAAGAAAACCTTCTTATTTTTTTCCCCTTTCTTTCTGTTAAGTGGTATTTTAATTTAATAGCAACTGGAGACCATAGTAAAACTGCAAATATAATTGTGCAGTGTGTATAAATTAGTTTAATATAAAAGAAGCCATGAAAGTTGTCCTAGTGTTGCAGTAAATTCCAGACTAGTTGTGCTGCTGTCCCTTTATGCCATCACTTTTATGGCCAGGACCTTTACAGTTGTGCTGTGTTGTGTAAAAACATGCTTTTTTACATAAAAAGAAAAAAAGAAAAAAGAAAAGCATAAGCAAAGTTACTTTGAGACACACAGGATACTTTATTGCTCTTGTTGAAATAATTTGCATGTCTGCTGTATGTGTTCATTCAAAAGATTATTAAACTATACATTTACAGCGTCTTCAGACAGCACTTGCACATATGCTCTTTGGAAATAATACACTTTTCAAATCCGAAGTCTGACTTACAGCCTAATAAAACCAGTGTACTCTGTAGTTGTATTTCAGGGTGTGATTTACTTTACAAACTTTTTTTCTTAAGGTCAGCTCCTGCCAACTGTGTTCAAATCTCATGCATGGGGAATTTTGCATACTCTGCTGGAAATGTTTAGCTATCGGATGCATCACATCCAGCCTCATTACAGAGTCCAGCTCCTCAGCCATCTTCATTCCTTGGCTGCTGTGCCACAGACCAATCAGAACCAGCTTCATCTCTGGTGGGTGACATTTGCCATATTTGTCCATAATCTCAGATTCCTTCCTGTTGAAAGCTGCATGAGAACTGTTTAAATGGCACTCTCCAGTCTTAGTTCTGTGGCCAACTTGTTTTGGGGTGTCTCAGCAGGGCGTGTTTCAGCAGTAAGCTGGATGCTAGCAGTAGTGCTCTACAGAGATGCACGAGGCAGCGTCTTGCACAGCCATGGCAGCGGTGTAATGCGTCAGCACAATAGGATGTGCAGCAAAACTGTCATGTCCAGAAGTGCTTCTTGCGTTGTAGATAAAGGGCAGTGCCTGCTACTTGTAATCAGTGCTTGGCTTTTCTGTCAAGACTGCTTCCTTCTGTAGAGGGTGTTTAATTCCTTTGCAAGAGTTAAGTTTGGTCCACTTAATTCTTTTATGAGTTTGATTTTCAGTCAAATCAGATAATTAATCGGGTTCGTGCTGCAGCTGAAAAAGAGTTTGCAAAGCTATGGAGACTAAACGTGAACCTGAGTGGGGTCCCTCATAGGGTGTGTAGGGGGTATGATAGCCTGAAACAGTGGCCAATTTGAATACAAGGTGACAAAGCTGGGTAGAGAAGGTCTAAAGAGGTTATGCAGGTAATTCCAGGCAAAAGCTTTGAGTTTACCTTACTGTTAATGAATTTGAAGAGCATGAGATTCAGTTTCTATGTAGAATCTGGGGCTTCTTTCAAAAAGTTGGGGAAAATAGTGTCCTTTCACTCTTAGAGACCAAAAAATTTTGTGGGAGTATGTGAGACAGAGTTAACTTCATTATTACCAGTTCATATAAAGTCTAATTATACAGTAGATTCATAGATTCATAGAATGTTTGGGCTGAAAGGGACCTTAAAGTCATCTAGTTACAAATTTTTTGCCGTGGGCAGGGACATTTCCACTGGATCAGGCTTCTCAATTTCATAGTCCAAATTCAAATTGCCTAGTTGCTTATCCTTTACCAAGCATAAAGAAAACAAGACAAGTTTCTCCTTAAATTCAAGGCCTTGATCTCTTTATTGGTCTCAATCTTGTTTTGTCATCTTAGTCTGTAAAATACAGATGTTAGTCAATTTTAATGAGCACTGCATGCAACTAGAATAAACTAAATTGTGGCTTTGGCATTTCAAAGACACAATGTTATAAAAATCTTTCCAATGACTTCAAACTACCTGGTGTGAAAAGTGCTTCCAGCTAAATCACTGGAAATTAAAGTGCTTTTAATCAAAAGTTATACTTCCTCAACTTCCTAATTTCTTTAATAAGGACAATTTAGTGCTGTCTACTTGAAGATGGTAGTTAGCTTTGAAGCTTCCTATGTATTATTCATGCCTTTTTATTTTTGTTTTGCATATATTTATTTATATTATCTTCTTTAGATGAAGATGTGCAAAAACTAATAATGTGGGGCTCTAAATTGGAGAGACTTGAGGTTCTTTTTTCAGGGTCTCTGCACTTGGAATTTTTGCTAAATCTACTTTTGAGTGCTTTATTTGAAAATAAGATACTGAAATAGTTGATAAATTTATTAAGCAGTAGAAAAGTGAGCTTTTTCAAAAGGTTAAGAGAATAATTTTTAAAACAAAATGTTTCTGTATTATTTGAAGCAGTAAATGGAGGAAAAAGTAGGTATTTTTGGAATCTTAGAAGCATCAGCATAAGTATTACTTGCTAACTGGACTGTTTCCTTCTTTCAGTGTTGAGAGTACTGCTCTAAGGCTAATCACAGCTTTGGGCAGCTCGGAAGTCCAACCACAGTTCACACGGTTCCTCAATGATCCCAAAACAGTTCTTTCAGCAGAATCAGAAGAACTCAACAGGGCTTTGATCTTAACTCTGGCAAGGGCAACACATGTGACAGGTAATAGCAGTACATCCCAGAAAAAGCTGTAGTCAAACAATTTCTCTAAACTACTGTGCAAAAGAGTGTCATGGAAATGACCTAGTCATAAAACATATCCCATGCACTTCTGGTTTTGAAAAAAGTGTCATTTTAATTTTCAACTACTTGTATTTAGGCAAAAAGCTATAATTGAAGCAGTAGTATAATGAAACATTCTCTAAAAGTTTAGTCAAAGGTACATTGTGACTAGGATTTAGAGTTTTTTAGTGTCTTATTTTGAGATTCGTTATTTTAAATCTAAATGTTTGGATTGATTATTGACATATGTTATTTAAATAGCATGAAATACAGCAACTGTGCTGCTCATGTGAAAGCCACCCCCTCTATAGCTTGCATTTAAGAAAAAGTTGTCTAAATTTTGGGTTTCTTTTGTTTGGGAAGGTGTGGTGGTTTGGCATAAAACGGAAGCTTTCATTGTGATTTTAATGTTTTAACAGTGTACAGTGACATGGATCAGGTTTTTGTGGGATTTGAGGGAGATGTTTTCCCTCTCCTTTTTTATGGTTCTAGTCTGCAGACTCACTGGAGAGTTAGAACAACTGATTCACAAAGACTGGTGGAGGTGATTTGAAGGGGAAAGGACTTCCATGTGTTGGTTTCTTTATTTTTTAACCATTTCTCAATCTTTGATGAAATCAGCCCAGGGGTTGGGGGAATGAGGTTTTCATTCCTTTCTGCAGCTTAATTTGGGCAGGTACTTCTAAATGGCCTTTTTGAAGCAGTATAAAATGGTATCTGACAATTTCATCATCATTTTCTTCCTCAGGATTTTTTTCTAAAAGTCTAATCAGTTAATCAGCAGAAGCTTGTTTTAGTGACATTACAGGAAATTAAATATGAAATATGAAAATCGTGATTGCTTTATTTCTAGCTCAAACTGTATAAATAGCTTTCTTATTGTTAGTAGCATAGAAAGGTAATATCTAGCATCTTCTCTAGAGCAAATAAAGTCAAAGAAAGGGACTGGGAGAAGTTGGACAAAAAAAGGAAACTGCATTGGAATAGAAAAGCCTTGATGTGTACAATGACAAAAGGAATACCAATAAGAAATGGTTTTGTGTGAAATTCTAATACCATCAATCCATTTTCTAGACTTTTTCACAGGCTCTGATTCAATTCAGGGAACTTGGTGCAAGGACATACTGCAGACTATCATGAGTTTCACTCCACATAACTGGGCATCACATACGCTAAGCTGTTTTCCAGCTCCTCTGCAGGTAATAGTTTAAAGCTGAAGGCTTTACAATTGGAAATGCAGTGAATTTATTCTCTTAACAAGATCCTTTGCCTTTTGTGGGTAGGTGAGATTCGTCCCCTGTCTAGACTGCATTAATCTCAAGTCCCTAAAGAATGCAGCATGATTATAACATTGCTATTTCTTTAGAAATGTGTTAGCCATATTCCCATGGAGTGTTCTAAGGTCAGATTTGGTCAACTGATACTTCTGGTGCAAGGTAGATCAGATGGTTTAAAAATCAAAAAATAAAATAAAAAGTTGGAAAAGCCATGTTTTCTCTGGCAGTTTGTCATGTAGCTTTGTTAGTGATAAAAGTCACTGTGGTATCACAGTGAAATAAAAACTTTCCATAGTAGGTTGTATGGTACAAGGAAGTAGGAGCCCATACAGTGCTAAATCAGGCAAAATTTTTCTATTCAGATATTTTACTGTAGGCTCTCAGTCATAGCAAAGTCTCCTTTTTTCAGGTGTTCTTCAAGCAGAACAACGTACCTCAGGAAAGCCGTTTTAATCTGAAGAAGAACGTGGAAGAAGAGTACCGGAAGTGGAAGTCGATGACCAGTGAGAATGAAATAATCACACACTTCTCTGCTCAAGGTTCATCCCCGCTTTTCCTTTGTCTCCTGTGGAAGATGTTGTTAGACACTGATCACATTAATCAAATCGGTTACAGGTGAGCTTAAAAACATGCTATTTCAAAGATATGAAGCAATATTCTCAGTTCTGAGGACATAGGCCTTGTGCATTGACAACTTGTTCTTTAAATTAATTTGGAGCATGCATAGCATGGAAAAAGAGAGTGGAGCTAGGTAGTAGCCAGCATGCCATAATAATTGTGCAGTGTTTAAGATTGATTCCACTGTGCAGTGGTCTGCAGTGCACATTTTTCCTGGTGAGAAACAAGGATGTTAGGTGTTTGAATTAAGCAGTTTACTTGTAATAGCAATGTTTCAGGCAGTCTGAAGGAGTAAGCAGAAAATCTAAAGCATTCATTTACTTAGCCTTTATACATGAATAAAGGCCAAATATTTCTTTAAGAAACAAATGTTGGATTAAGATGAAAATTCATTACAGAAGTAGCAATCATCTCATTTTTAAAATTTGTTCCTGGTTGAAACAGCCTCATTTCCAGCTGTGAAAAATAGATTTATTTATTTTCAGTCCTTCCTAGGTCTGCTGAAACAGTGTTTGATAGCATGTGTTACTGTTGTGTGCAATGAGGAAATTGTTTATAATGCTGTGGTTGTATTAAAGTGCATGGTGCAGGAAAATAAAGTTGAGTTGCAGAAGGTTGTTCTCAGAGGTGTATAACTAAAATTGAATAAGTAAAGCATGAGTTCTGGGCAGATGAACTTGAAGCATTTCTCCTGATTCGTATTTGGACTTTGGAATTCTCTTGCTCTAAAGTTGGGGTGTTTTGCTTTGCTTTGGCATTTCCTTCAGTTAATAAGAGGGAGGGAATTTTGTCTTTTTGTTGTTGTTGTTTAAGGCAATTGTGTTAAAATCTGCTTATATCAAATAGATGTGCATTAGAAATGCATTAGGAACTGTAACAATTTCTTCTTGCTTTTTTTTCCCCCTCCCTGATAGAGTGTTAGAAAGAATTGGGGCCAGAGCTCTGGTGGCACATGTCAGGACATTTGCAGATTTCTTGGTGTATGAATTCTCTACATCTGCAGGAGGACAGCAGCTCAATAAATGTATTGAGATTCTCAATGACATGGTGTGGAAATACAATATTGTAACACTGGATAGGTTGATACTCTGCTTGGTAAGTATCTCTTCAGAAGATAAGATGACAGTTCATGCAGTCTGCTTTCTGACTCATTTTTAGGCGCAATCTTTTAAAAATGAATTGGCCTTAAATAGTGACTATTTTGCTAAGTCAGTAATCAAGTAAAATAATATATTCTTTCTTTAAGCAGCATAAAATCCCAACTCTTACAGTTCTCTTAAGTCTTCAGGGAAGCATTTCTTAGTTATTTTATGGCAACCATTGAACTGGTATTATTAAATGTTGTGATTGTTGGTTTGGGTCTCTGACCTCAGAGCCGTGCAGTTATTTAGGCTCTGCAGAGAGGCCTGGACAGGCTGGATCAATGGGCTGAGGCCAGTTGTTTGAAGTTCAGCAAGGCCAGGTACTGGATCCTGAGCTTGAGTCACAGCCCCATGCAGTGCTACAGGCTGGGCAGTTCTGGGCCCCTCACTACAAGACAGACATTGAGCATGTCCAGAGAAGGGCAGCAGAGCTGGTGAAGGGTCTGGACCACAAGTCTTACAAGGAGCAGCAGAGGGAGCTGGGGATGTTTAACCTGGAGAAAAGGAGGCTCAGAGGTGACCTTATCGCCCACTACAGCTGCCTGAGTGGAGGGTGTAGCCAGGTGGGAGTCAGCCTTTTCTGCCATTGAAGTGAAAAGACATCTTTTAAATGTAGGTGTGGCACTTCAGGACATGCATTAGTAGCACTGCTCAATTAATGGTTGCACTCAATGGTCTTGAAGGTCTTTTCTACCCTAAATGAATCTATGGTTGTATGATTCCTGCAGCCTTAAAAGATAGGTAGGATATCGCATGCTATTCATTCATTGACAAGCATGTGAAAATCTTGTACCCATTATGCTTTCTTTCCATAGAAATTATCCTCTTTCATCACAGTAGTAAGACAGAAATTGCATTCTCTTGCTTTTCATGTTATCCTATAAAATAAAGGAGTATTCACCTAGAGAGAACTACATTTGCATTCAGTAATTGTCTTTTAATTTTAAATCTCATCTTAATGTAAAGCTGGTTGTTTGAATTCTAATTTCGTTTTCAGACTGAAGTCCAATCATGTCAGAGTGGACAGAGGTTAAAAGCAATCTTAACTTCATTGTTATTTAATTAGTTATTTTCCATAAGACATCTGACAGATAAAAGAGAGCTAGAATTCCTGGAGAGAGTGCTACCACTGGGGACTTTGTAAGACCTTCTGCCCATAGAACAAAAAATGGATAGGGATTGAACCTGCCTCTTTTTTATGTCTTCTCTTGAAAAATAGAGTTGAAAGACCCTATATTCAGTGTGAATTTCATGTTATCTGATCTGTTTCATTTAAGGCAATGCGTAGTCATGAAGGAAATGAAGCTCAAGTTTGTTACTTCATAATCCAATTACTCTTACTGAAGCCTAATGATTTCAGAAACAGAGTGAGTGATTTTGTGAAGGAGAATTCTCCCGAACACTGGCTGCAGAATGACTGGCATACAAAGCATATGAGTTACCACAAGGTATCACAGCTAATGATGTGTTGTTTTTTTGTTTTTTTTTATTGTAATAATTAATGTTGAATTGATATCAGCCATCATTTACAGGACAGCTTTATAAATTTTTGGACTTGCCTAATAAGCCATGTCATTGAAATTGTAATTGAAATTGAAATAATAATGCAATAATATTCGAAGATAGATGTAGCTTGAGAATTGGGTGGATGTTCATTCTTTCTCATCTAAATCAAATAATTTTAAAATCTTGTTTACACTGAAATTCACTTAGAACAGAGTTTTGTGCATGAGGGAGAAGGCGTTTTGTCTGGTGTTTTATGATTATACCAATCATTAAACCTACATTTTCTTGTAATTATTGAAACTTCCTCTGTCTTCTGTGTGGCAAGAACATGAGAGCCTGATATGTTAGGGAAGAGAATTGCTGAGAATTTAATGCTCCTGTAAACATACTGGTTTCTGTTGGCTATAAAAGAATGTGCCAAGGAGCTGTTCTATCAGAAAATAAACACTGAGATGGAACAGATACAAAGAAGCTGTCATGTAGCTCTGTACATGCCATCTAGATTGACCCAGGAGCTGTTTGGTCTATATTAGCCCCCTGACTTTGCTGTACAGTGTTTTGACAGTGCCTAAAAGTGTAATGGTAGCAGGGAAGCAAATGGGCCTGGGAAGTGCTCTGACATGGCTGTACAGTCACTACACCCAACCTGGCATATTGAAATTTCAGTCACAGGTGAAACATGAGTTCAGCCCTCAGCAGTATCCATCTGTTAATTTGAGTACACTACAGCTCTTTCCCAGGGCATTATTTCATTCATGCTATTTCTAGTGTTCTAATTTAGTATATGATGCAGAAACTTCCAGTAGTGCTGATTTCCCCTAGGTTTTTCTCTTCAATTACACAACAGAGGACACTTCAGCGCTGGCTGCTTTCAGCTTTGCTTTGGGATTCTTAATGTTCTTTCGTGCCCATTTTCAGTGGTGGTGAAACTTTGTTCTGGGTTTTTTTTGAAGATACTATTCTAATAGCCAATTTAAGTCAGAGTTCAGTTTCCTTCAGTAAGCTTACAATAAAGTTCACTGAATTCAAATGTGATAAAGAGGGTTCTGAAGTGTCTTTTTAAAGCAATGTAGATGCTGAATGTTTAATCCATTACTTATAAAGAAAGATCTTGATTTTGGTGGATTTCTGTTTTTCCAGAAATACCCTGAAAAGCTGTATTTTGAAGGCTTGGCAGAACAAGTGAATCCCCCAGTTCAGATCCAGCCCCAGTACTTACCAATTTATTTTGGAAATGTATGCCTGCGCTTTCTGCCAGTTTTTGATATTGTAATTCATAGATTTCTGGAATTGCTTCCAGTGTCCAAATCACTAGAAACTTTATTGGATCATCTGGGAGGCTTATACAAATTCCACGGTAAGTATTCCATGAATACAGTCGGATATATTCCTGTTGTGATCGTTATGTCCTCTTCACCTCTTTCATTCATGATGTTCATGTATTAGCACAGCATTGCCTTCTTCCTTTCTTGTTCTCTGAACCCTGTGTACATTTACACAGAGAAGTGCATTTCCTGTTTAGTAAATTTGAGCTTATTAATAGTGAACTTGTTTTTACTCAGGTATCTCTTCCTAATTCATGCTTCCTTCACACCTTTCCCTTCCATTCCCTTCTAGCAGTAAATACTTGGATCTCTGTCCTAATAAACTTTTTGTTACCAAGACTGAAACAATTGAAAAGCAGTTCCTCTCTTTATCCTTACTTACGATTCAAATAACTTGACCTGATACTTGAATGCTTTTAGAAATGCACTTTTATAGTAATTTTTTTATAGGTGTCATTGCTATATTATGCTTAGACAATTTACAATACCCTTTCTTTACTGTTACTTCTTAGCTGGAGTCTTCTTACCTAATACCTTTTATATGAAGAGATGATTTAGTCAGTTTACTTACAGATATATTAATATTACCATTAAGTTGTGAACTGTTATTAATACTGACCTCCTTTGTTTTTCACCAACACTGAAGTATGTACAAGACAAAGGAGAATCAGCTTTGTAGAGTATATTGAAATAAAGAACATAAATCAATTCCTTATATGCTGTTTTTAAATAAATGCAACTTAGTCCTGCAGGGCTCCTGATTTTAGTTTAATTTGCCACAAATAGTGATGCTGGAAGTTACTTCTGGCTTTTATTGTTTTCCCTTTTTCCTTGGCAGACCGACCAGTGACCTACCTGTACAACACCCTTCACTATTATGAGGGGCATCTGAGAGAGCGCACAAACCTCAAGAGAAAACTCGTTCATGCCATAATTGGCTCTCTCAAAGATAATCGTCCACTAGGCTGGTGTCTGAGTGATACTTACCTCAAATGTGCCATGAATCCCCGAGAAGAGAATCCATGGGTTCCTGATGATGCTTACTATTGCAAGCTCATTGGAAGACTAGTAGACAATATCCTTTTAAAAGTTTGCTTTAAGTAAGCTGTGACAATGTCTTACAGCTTCATTTCATCAAAATACAAAGTTCAGTTTCTTTGTTATTCTAAGCAGGGATGTGCTTAACATATTAAAAGATATGGTGAAAGTGAAATACAGTGCAGATATATAAATATTTCACTGTTTAAGCATCACTTAGAAATGCAATTTCTGATGTTTATGCTTTCTGAATTGAATTTTGATTGTCAAAAAAATAGCTTGATGCAAAGTGTGAATATTTGAAGAATTTTTCAAAAATTAGATTACTATTATTGTTTTCTAATGCCATTTATTAGTATTACTGAGAATAAAATACTGAGAGCAGTGCCACATTTAAGATGTGGGAATAGCTGGCAAATTAGAGAAAGGGAATCTTCTTGGACTTCGGCTTCTTTCTGGAGGAGCTTTACAAGAGTTGACCAATTTTCAGGATGTTACAAGTTCTTTCACTCCTTCTCCTGAACTTCCCTTTCTTAAATGTGTAACTTCAAAGAAGTCTATTCAGTGTCTCCAAAGAAAGCTAAAGTTATATAAACCTCTGCTTTTATGCAAATGTTAACTCTGGAGAACTTCTCTGTATCTATTTCAAATAAGTTAGTCTTGTTTGGGAAAGTGGAGTATTTTCAGAGACTAAGGAACTCCTTTTGCATAAACTGTCACCCTAGAAGTCTGCTAGAAGATCTTACAGAGAGGCAAATGAATGGTTTCTGAATATGTGAGTAGAAAATTCCTATTATTTATATTTTCTCCTCTTGGAAGCATACAGTGAATGAGATGGTTGGTGTTGTTTTTTCCACCACTTAATCAGGGAAGTTTATCCTTTTGTGTGTGTAATAGATTTATAGCTATGTATTCATGCAGTCCTTCGATGATTATCAGCATCTTACATTCATACTTCTGTATGTCTTTTGTTTTTTAATGAAATGTCGTTGTTCTACTTGTTTTTAGCAATTTTCGGTTCAGTTTAGTATGTGGTATATGCATTGATTTTTTTTAGTCACCGTGCTGCTTATACTTGTCTGTGTTGGGGCAGCTTTTTTTCCTTAACCATTGTCACCTATGGCAGGCAAATCACCTGGTCCATTTCCAAATTGTGACTGGAGATTCAATGAGTTTCCTAACCCAGCTGCCCATGCTCTGCACGTTACCTGTGTTGAGCTCATGGCTCTGGCTGTTCCAGGGAAGGAGGTGGGCAATGCTCTGCTGAATGTTGTGCTGAAGAGGTATGTTGGCTTTCTGAAATGGTTTTCTGCAATAAATGCATAGAGATTGCTAAAGTACTCTGTGATACTAATTTTCTTGTTTTTTAAAAAAAAATTGAAGTGTATATAGGTAACATTTTATATATAAAGTATTTCTGGATTGCAAACAAGGTGACAGGGATCAAGCAGAAAAATCACATTAGACCCCTGTGGTGTAGTGGATTGTGTGCTTCAGGACCAGCTTATGTGGCATGATGCCCAGAAGAGTTAGAGGTAAAACCTCGCACAGGCAGAGATCTTACCCATTGGGTTCAGCCAGAAATCTTGGAGAAAGTCTGTTGTCCTTTCAACTATGCTGAGAGGAGGACATCTCATCAGCAGATACCACAGCTTTTTTCAGTGTAAAGGGACAGGAGTCCTTGGCAGGACTCTGAATCTTCCTGATGTAGATCAGAGGTACTTTGAAACAGTGGTGTGCCAAGGCTGACCTTCTGTCATGATGCATTAAATTTGACCCAAAGCTGTTTCTTGGGCAACCACTGAAAAAAACTTTGGTGTGAGACAGGACCTGGTATTCTTGTAGCCATTCAGTTGACATCACTGAGCAATGACAAACCTGGAATTACTTGGGTACAACCTCATTCAGCTTAGTAATATATTATTGTTAGCTCTGTTTGGGGCATATGGAGGGAAGGAGTCAATAAAGAGACAAACAACCCTTAGGCACTAAAGCTTAAGGAAGAAAGTTTGAAGCCTTTGACGGAAACCTGCTACGAATGCAAAACACACACAAATAAAGTTTTGCAAGCATCCCAATAGCATTTATACCATCTTTTGGCTCTTGTAAATACCTGTGTGTGTTTTTGTAGTTCTCTCAGCTTGACAAATATTCTTGGTGTATACACCTGGTCTGTAGATGCACAAGAAGCGCAAATTGCAGTTGTGTACTCCAGAGCTATAGTTTTCTTTTTCTTTGTCTCTAGTCAGCCCCTAGTGCCAAGAGAGAACATCACAGCTTGGATGAATGCGATTGGACTGATTATCACAGCCTTACCAGTGAGTCAATATGTTGTGTTTTAAAATGAAAAAAAATACTCTTCATTTATCATCTTTCTAGAGTACATTGTAAAAACTTACAGCAAACATCTGTAGATTCCACAGCAAGCTATTCAGAAGATTGTGTGCATGTTTGAGAAAAATCTACTCCTCCAGCATAGAAAAATTGACCAGGAGTTTTGTTTGAGACTAGGATATGAACAAGTAAATCACTCCAGTTTAAATACATAGTTAAATGTCATGTGTGTAATATTGAGAATGTGAGCTATGTAATAGGAAGTTCTGTGAAGGTTCTCATGCAAAGTTACTTTTTGATTAATGTTTGCACTTTCACGTCCTGTAGTTCTTAAACCATGTAAATGAGATGTGGCTAAGATTGCAGAAGGAAATGTCTGCAGTACTGCAGTTTGTGTATCATTAGAAACTTTGATTTTCTGAATATCATGACTCTTAGTACTTGACAAAGACTGCCTGAGTAATTTTGATCTTGCCATATGTGTTGCTTATGTGTGTCACATCTGTCCTTCCCTTGTGAGCTCTCTTCCCCAATAAAATGGTTCCTCTTCTTGGAGGGAAGCCAACATGGATTTATTCTCTTATTATTTTTATAATGGTTCTTATTCTTCCTGTTCCCTCTCCTTGAATCTTCATCTATATTCATTGTCATTTGTACCTTTTTTTTACTTCCTGTTTCCACCTTAGTTTTTTGGTTTGTTTGTGCCTGCACTCAGAAGAGTAGAAAATTCTCACACCTCTTTCACTAAGGCTTCTTGCCTTGTCTTTGCTTCTTTTAGAGACCTTTATATCAGGTGATTAAATAATTAAATTAATAAGATATGTCTTGATAAGTCTTGAGTGTGCCATACTCACTAACATGGATGCTTTCTGTATCATGAGTCTTAAATTTTCATCTTCATCAGACATTGTTATCAACTACCATTTATATACCATGTCATTTATAACAGATTTATACATGCATATACATATGTATTTATATATACACATTTTAGAAATGCAATAATAGTAGAAGGAGCTGAGGAAGCATTGTCCTAGGTGATGTTTTTCTTACGAACAATTCTGAATTTCTGGGCTTGTTCTGTTGTTTTTTTCCCCAGGAGCCCTACTGGATTGTTCTCCATGATTGTATTGTGAATGTCATCAACAGTCCCAGCTTGACATCAGAGACAGAGTGGGTTGGTTACCCATTCCAGCTGTTTGACTTCACAGCATGTCACCAGTCTTACTCTGAGATGAGTTGTAGCTATACTTTGGCTTTGGCACATGCAGTCTGGCATCATTCCAGCATTGGACAGCTTTCTCTCATTCCTAAGTAGGTGTAACGCTATATGAGAATGTAATTTGTCTTTTAAATTCCACACATAATGTAGATAACAAAGCTCCACCTATAGCATTTATACCAGTGAATAAATGTGTACAGGGGAGCTCCAAGACTTGCCAGATAGATCACAAGGCTTTTTCCAGTTCCTTATTCCATTGACATAACTCTGGTTGTCTGTAGGCTTTAGGGCTGTCATGTGGTGTGAGTGCCTTTAATAAGCCTTTTTAAATCTAGATTAGCTTTTATGCTTTTATTAAATATAAATTTTTCTTAAAGCATGAACTGTAGCACATTCCTAAAACATCAACTGTAACAGTAAATATTATTCTTAATTCTAGAGCTGCCCTGAAATAGTATTTGGAATAGCTCATATTTTCAGAGGCATACTCTTTTTTCTAAAATAAAAGTCTGAATCTGTGAGAGAGACTGTAATGTTTTGGGTAGAATTTGGTACAGGTGAAAGAAGTAAAGAACCCCAAATAACCAAGCAGTTGATGTAGTACATGTCTTGACATTACTACAGGTTCCTCACGGAAGCGTTGATACCCATTGTGAAAACAGAGTTCCAGTTACTCTATGTTTACCACCTCGTTGGTCCTTTCCTGCAACGTTTCCAGCAGGAGAGGACACGGTGCATGATAGAGGTAAAGTCTGGCTCATGGTTTGCTTTATACTGTATGCATTATTTTTATTTTTTGCAATTAACTCATTAATTAGAATGGGATAGAAATCTTTAATAAATACTCAGAATTAAATTCTGTACAAATTTAACAGTAATTGCAAGGACCTGAGTTGCTGAGTTGGTATTCAGCTTACCCTGTTAACTGAAATCTTGTTGGATAAAACACCTGGTGCATTTCTTTTTAAGCAAGAAAAGAAATAAACCCCCAGAAGTATCAAGCAATACATGCTTTCTTTGGCTCTCAAACTACTTGCAAAATATATATCAGACTTACTGCCTGAAAGGGAGTATGCAAGAGGTGAATTGTGAGGGTGGAGGAACATGAACTGTTTCTTGTCAGTGTGGGTAAGGTTAGGGGAGGAAAAAAGAGATGGAGCTTGCCAGTAGGCAGATGAGCTGAAAAATGTCAGATATCAGAGACCCTGCTAGAAAGAAGAGCTTAACTTGGGAATCATTTAGTGAAGCTTAGTGGGATGACTTAGACCTTCCCATTCATCCCTGTAAGAAGGTAAATTGTTAGAAGTCACAGCTACTCAAAAAGCAGTACATATTTATTATATTGTTAATCTAAATCATTTTAAAACTTGTTTTCATTTGGGCTGTTCTTTGTGTCTGTGGAAACAGATTGGAGTGGCATTTTATGAAATGCTCCTGAATGCAGATCGGTACAGCTCCCATCTGAACTACATGGATCCCATTTGTGATTTCTTGTATCATATGAAATATATGTTTACAGGTGACAGTGTGAAAGACCAAGTAAGTAAACAGTAGATATTGATACCTTAGTTATCCTTCTTCCCATACAGTAATTTAATCTTTTTGTGGACTATTTTTCATAGGTAGCAGTATAACAAGTTGCTTGACAATTGAATTGTCTCTATGTACAAAGTAGGAAATTGGTGTAGGAAAAGCTTCAGATGGAGTAGATTAGATATCTCAGATTGCAAGATTAATTTATACAGCCTGAAATACAGCTTCAGAATGCTTTAAATACTATTATTAGAGCTATTGCTAGAAATAAAGCTATTGGATATTTCATAACTTGAATTCATTTAAATCTCTTTCTCGAAAAGCTTTACTTAGTTTCTGATTCAGTAGTACAACTTGGCATGTGACAAAAGGAAGATTTCATTCATGTTCAGTGAAAATTCAATCACTCAATTTATCTCTAGTTTATAACAGTATGCACTTTTTAATAAAATATTGATATAAATACCTCTATATACTAAATCTTTTTCCATTTTCTCTGCTGCTAATGTGATGTTTGTATACAGTAGTGGCATGTAAAAATACTCCTGTTTGCAGGAGTATTTTTACTGAACGCATTGTTTTCCTTCTTAAAACAGGTTGAGAAGATAATTTGTAATCTAAGACCAGCTTTGAAACTTCGGCTACGCTTCATAACACACATCAGCAAAATGGAGCCAGCTGCTGTTTCACAACAGCCTCTCAGCAATGGGTCCCCAGCCCAACAGCCCAGCCAAGTGCCTGTCAATGTGGCTTTGCCAGTAACCCAGTGAAATGAAGTGCTGGGCTGACCTTGCTGTGAAGGCTTCCTCTTCTTACTGACCAAGGTGAAGCAGCATCTGGCCTGAAATCTGGGATGCTTTATGAAGGGACAGAGAACCATGTACAGACTTCTCATTTCATTTCTTTTGCATCATGAAGCTGTCTAGCTCTGTGCATGCTGGTCTTCTTGGCTGTTCTTGCTAGACACTAGATAAAGGGATATGTTGCCTTTCTCTGAACGCACTGAGTGAAGGTCCTCTGCAAGCAAATAGATGGAATTCTGAAGAGCTTACCATATTCTGCTCCCTATCCTGGGTGAAGTCATCCAGATTTTTCTTTTTTCTCCCTGTGTCATGAAAGGACTCTGTGTGTGTAAAACAGCCTTTTAAAATTTGGGTTCTGCCTTATTAAAAATTTATATTTTTTCATCCAGCAGAAAAATTTAAATCCTTTTTGTCTTTTGGGCAGACAGTTTAAGCCCTTATACAGTAATACTCCTAGACAGAGAGATTGCATTAATTTTATTGAGTTAATTATGGCATCTTTCCAAAGAATAAGAATGAACCTTTGAAAATTTGTAAATTTTGTGTGTACAGATTTCATTAAGCACAGCTCAATGGGTTTGATGTAATGTCAGTTACTAGACTGTTGGATTACACCCCAGAGGCTGTCTCCAATGAATTTGGTGGAAGTCTGCATATTCACTTCAAGCTGGGCTAGTTCATATTTGATCTTTCCTATTTGGGAAATGATGTAGTTTTTATTAAGTCAATCACATCAATTTTCGTGATCTTACTATATTTTGGATAATATTCTGATTTAGGGTGTATGTGTGCTGGACTCAGCCAGTTTTGATAACAATTGAAATGCTCAATGTTTTGTAAATACTCATCTTTTTGAACAAATATTGAATTAAAAAAACCCCCACAGTTTAAAAGTCCATGGTAGTATTGTTAAGTTTCTTTTCTATACTCATTACCTTAAAAATAAGGATTAACCATAGCAAGGATACTTCCATGTCCCAAGTTCTCTATCAGTTTTCCATTAATGACAGTTTTAACATGTTACAAATAGAGTCCAGATTAATAAGCACAGGTCTGATCTGATTTATATCTCTCTAAAAATTTAATAGTTATGGAAAGAGGTTGCTGACTCAGTGGGTGGAAGTTCTTTAGTTTGCTTTTTTGCTGTTCTTGTACTTGAATCCTAAATTCTGCCAAGTATAATTTGGGTAACAGACTGTGGGTGCTCTTTAATGAACTTTAGTCTGACAGAAAACCACACTTGCGTAATTATGCTGGCAGCTGGTCACAGGTGGCATTCCTCAGGGCTCAGTCCTGCTTAATGTCTGTATTGGTAATGTGGACAAAGGGATTGAGGCCACCCTGAGTCAGATGGCACCCATGTTACGGAGGAATGTTGACCTTCTGGAGGGCAGGAAGGCTCTGCAGGGAGGGTCTGGACAGGCTGAATGCATGGTCTGCACCCAGCTGTATGAGGTTCAGGACGGCCAAGTACCAGGTCCTGCACTTGGGTCACAACCACCCCTGCTGTGCTACAGGCTGGGGGCAGAGTGACTGGAAAGTTGCTCTGCAGAAAAGGACCTGGGGGTGCTGGTGACAGCAACTGAACATGAGCCAGCTGTGCCCAGGTGGCCAAGGAAGCCAATGGCATCCTGGCCTGGATCAGCAGTAGTGTATCCTGCCCAGGACTCAGCAGGATACTGGGATACTACTGTGCCAGCAGTACTCAGCACTCGGGAGGCCACACCTCATATCGTGTGTTTGGTTCTGGGCCCCTCACTACAAGACAGACCTTGAGGTGCTGGAGTGTGTCCATAGAAGGGCAATGGAGCTGGTGAAGGGTCTGGAGTCTTGCAAAGAGCAGCTGAGGGAGCTGGGATTGTTAGCTTGGACAAGAGGAAACTCAGGAGAGACTTCATGTCTATCTGCAAGTGCCTGAAAGGAGGCCGTAGGGTGGTGGGAACTGGTCTCTTCTCCCAAGTGACAAGAGGAAATGGTATCAAGTTGTGCCAGGAGAGGTTTCAAGTTTGAGATTTGATATTAGGAAAAATTCCTTCAGTGGAGGGTTGTTCATGCACTGAAATACACTGCTGAGATCGAATCACCATCACTGGAAGTGTTCAATAAGTGCATGGATGTGTCACTTGGGGATGTGGTTTAGTGGTGAACACAAAGGTGCTTGGTCTTAGGTTGGACTTTATGATCTTAAAGATCTTTTCATCCCTTAATAATTCTATTATTTTGTATTTGTTTTTAAACATCTTCTATTCCATTCCAGAGTCAAATCACTAGTGCCATTGGACTCCATTTTGATAACAAGACAAACAAATAATAATTGGTCAAACTCCTAAAATCCAGTGAACTGTTCTGTGCAGGCCTTCCCATAGGCTTTCTGGGCAGACCCAAGAAGCAAAATTTTGGTTGTGGATTTGCAGACTTTTGATGGCAGTGAGATTTCTCCTCCTAAGCACTTTTTGCAGCATGTGAATAGAAAAGCCTGTAGAATAGAAAATACTGTTTCATTGCTATTCTGCATTCTGACTGTTCTTCTGAGCTTCTTTCTGAATTGTCTTATTTCATACTGAAATAGTTGTGGCACTTTATGTGGCACCCAGAGTATCCCTTTTAATATTTAAACTAGCACCTGTTTTCACTCACAGGGATTTCAGGGGGTGTTCTGGGTGGGAAGTTGGGTAACTGTCATCAGCAGCAAGTCCTGAAAGCTGTTGGAATTCTTTAGAGCTCCCTCATTGTGCTCTGTGTCTTTGCCACACGTGTGTTTATGTTAAGCTGATTTTGGAACACTGGTCTGGCACTATGGGGGTGGGATTTACCTTAGCTGGACTGGCAAATCATTGAAAAACCTGGATTTTGTCAATACTGGACTAGTTCTGAACTTTTGTCCCAGAGCTTAAAGGCTGTGCATCCCACTTACAGTGCTATGAATTGGTCATGCTTGCTCACCTAGTAGGATTAGGGGTTTACAGGTTCTGTATGTTGCAAAACACAAAGGAAGACCATCTATTCTTCCCAGCATGCACACTCTTCCTCTGGAAAACTCACCAGGTTTCTGAAGGTGTTAACTGTCACTAGTCAGAATAAAGTATCTCCTCTGCAATAATCTAGATTTGCATTTTCCGCAGCAGTACTGGTTTAAAAATCAATTCTTATTGACACTCGCCTTGAGTTAAACATCTTGCACTTTAAAATCCAGCTATCCAAATTTGCTTTCTAAAGCACTAGCACAGCAAGACAGAATTCTAGTGTAATTTCAGATGTATGTTTTTTATTGATTATGGCTGTCATAGGGCTGGGTTTTAAAATTCAAAATGTGTCAGTCAAAATTTGTCAGTGTGCTGGAACTCAGAATAGTTGAGAGTAGTGAGGAGTAACAGAAGTCTGAGGTTTGGGGTTTGACTTTTAGTTTTTGTTTTGTATTTCAAATTGCAGGTAGCCAGTATGGAAGAGACACAATAGTACCATACTTCCTCCATCCCATAGACTTGAATGTCTACTAAAATGTGACTGGCTGAGTCAACAGATTTCTAAACCTTAAAAAAAAAAAAAAAATTAGGTCAGGAAAAATTTGTATTCCCTTTTTATCCACCAGAGGGAGATTTCTTCACAAAATATAATCTGGTCTTAAACTGTTTCTGAGTATAATGCAATATTCTGAACACCCAGATCTTCCTTGCATCTACCAACATTTTTATCCAAGATTTTACGACATAGAAGGCCACATTACACTGTTGTCCTTGATGTTTGAAATATGTTTTATCTTCCTCAAAATCTTGCTGGAGGATTCCAGAGAGCTATGGGATTTGCGAAATCTCCCAAATGCAAAAATTTTTAGTCTTTCAGTATTGTCTCAGATGATTTTTTTTTTTATAAAAGCCAATCACTTGATTCATGCAATAGCTACCAGATTTGATGGCAGAATTTTGTACATGATTACCTATTAAAAAAAAAAAAAGCAGTAGATAAGAACCATGTATTTGAGTTTGATTTTTGGCACGAATGCTTTTTAAGAGATAAATGGATGTCTGTGGCTTGGCAGGCTGTACCTGAAATGCAACCTTTTCTGAAGGTGAACCAAACAGGAGTAATATCTCTGCAGCTTTAAAAGGTGGTGAATATTTTTGGTTTTCTCTGTGCCTTTGTTCCTTCAGCCAATACAAGCACAGTAGGGATTCTTTTTCTGGTTCAGGATCCAGAAAGCCAATATGCAGAGGTTCCCATCCAACTGCCCTATTTATTCACTTGTGCACCTGCTGTTACCCATAATCAGAGAGATACCACTGTGCTTCTCCATCCATTCTTAGAATCATTTCAATTGAAAGAAAGGTCTTTGTTCTGGGGGTTGAGTGTGGTCTTTTTTTGGTTTCTTTTTCTTTTTTTTTCCTTTTTTCTTTCCCTCCCCCATATATCTATTCTGTATAAGCTCTCGTGAGCTGTGTTGTTGTTCAGGTCTGGTCCTTCACCTCATTAGTGTTTCACACAGAGACCACTCTATGACTTGGTGGTGTGTATCTGATGTCAGATTCAATAGGAGTGAGTTGTTTCAAAGGTAAGTGGGCACCTTCTAATATCTTCTCATGAAATGTGAGGGTTGTGGTGTGTTGTGGTGAGAGCAACGCAGTCGGTTCCTATCAGCTATCAAAGGCCAGAGGATCTATGGTTCTGTCCCAACCCAGCTCCAGCCCTGAGCAGTCCCAGGCTGCTTTACAGTTTCATTTTTAATTAAAAAGCTGAAAAGTCCCTGCATCTAATTGCCCCCACATCAGTAGTACAGGGGAAATTCTTAAACTACCCAGTTACCTTTGAAGCAAAAGGTTTCAAAATGCTGCATGAAGGAGGAGAGACTGAGGGATGCCATGTAGGCAAAAGAAAAATCCCCAACATTATTAAATATTTCCTAGGTATATAATTTACATGTTGTATGAGGCTCTGATGATATTGTCCTAAAAATAAATTTAAAGTTTGAAGTTCCAGACTTACGGTTGGATTCCATTATTGATTTAGCTCAGCTCAGCCTACAGTGAAATCAGCCTGCACATCCAGAAGAGCCATTGTCACAGTTACTGTCTCTCAGGTGCAATTTCTTCATCACATGTACAAAATAACTTTCATATGCTTCATATTTTTGTGGTTGTGCTGATGGGATATAATATCTAATGACCTCTAGGGCATGTTAAATACTGCAAAACAAGCAAGGAGGGGACATGCAAGTGTCAGTGAGTTATGTCTCACACCATTATGAACAGATGACGGGTGGCTACAAACAGTGAAAAATGAGCAGACAGCAGTCTGACAGTCCTGTGTAACATTTGTACTGAGGTGATTGAGCTGAGGTTCCACGCTGATTTGAAGACTATATACGTCATGACTTCAACAGCAGGTGTATTTAAAATTAGTAAAGTTCTACTGAAAGTTGTATAAAATACAATTAGCATGTTCTTTGTGAAATGACAGCATAGCATTATCTGTATGATTTGAGAGGAGTTGAGAAATTCAGCGTCAATTCCCACTGCAGCTATAACTCAAGGCGTGCAATTATTTAGCAAATATGTCAAAGTCAAGAGCACAAAACAAGGTCCTGAATAAGCCAGTGCCTGCCCTGGAGAACTTTCAACCTATAAATGACAGTGTGCAGAAAGAGAAAAATCACATCGTTGAGGAAGAAAAAATTTGTTGGGTTTTCTTAATAGAATATCAGTTTTCCTGTGAGTGCTGCAAAAGAGGGATCTATGTGTAATACTTTTGAATGAATTTATGGAGGTGTTTGGCAAATGAATAAAGGCCTTAAGAGGTGAGGATGAAATGAACATGTGAATGGAAAACTGTTAATGTTCTCTGAAGTGCTGTGAGGTTGAATTCTCCAAGAAAAATCCTCATAGGTTCTTTCCTTCCTTGATGCTGTTTCTGCTAAGATGTAGTTTAGAAGAAAGGAGTCCTGGCTGTAACTTAACACATCAGTATCTTTTCTGTTGTATGTTCATATTATCAAGCCCCAGCTGAACCAGCCTTTAAGGGCCCTTACAGGAGTAATTCCCCTTTGTTTTGCTGTCTTTCTTTAAAAGGTTAG